GTCAATTCCCGTTTATGCTTCCCGATGTCGTTTTAACTAAACAAGAAAAACACTTTTTTCCCATTTTTGGCTCAAAGAATACTTAAGAACGTCATTTGGAACCTTTTCGGTAACCCATTTTAAGCTTTCGCTAAATTTAATGAATTTTGTGCAAGCATAAGCTTTTGATATTTATTTCTAGAATTTTTTGTCATACATATTTCTATAATTAAAGACAATGTAATTGAAAAGAACATGTAAAAGCCTTAAATTCCGGAAGTTTGAACGATACCGCATTAGTGCATATTATGATTTTTTCGCACTACGAATTTGAATGGAGAAGAGGAAGAGATCATGTTGATTTTATGGTGCACAATTATAATAAATGATTCTATTTTTTAGGGATGAGGTAGATATCTTGCCCTGCAGACCATAATACAGAGGCGACATGAGCCAATACATGTACTTTCTAATTACAAGTGTCAATACCAAAATTCTTTCAGAGCACGCCTAATGAAAAATAAAGTTAAATAAGAGACATATTATCTTCAAACCCTATTAAAATTTGCGCAAAAATCTCCCATAGTTTAATATTGGTAGTATGGTAGATGCTGTCACAACAGAAACTTAAAGACAATGAAATGTAAAAAAAAAAAAAAAGTGTTCGTGTATCGAACAGCAGTATGTCACGTGAGTAAGGTGATTATAATATCAATCGTTAATTAACATAAGGCTAATTTAGTACAGCTATCTCGACCCTAGTTTAAGGACATTTTTTTTTCAATTAGATATGAGCCACAACTTGGCCAACGTGGTCCTTTGGATAAGTATAAGTTTAAATTAAAATATATATTCTGTGCAAATGAGACCAATGGCCAAGTTGCGTCTCGATGTAAACAATGTTGAAAACTAGTATGCATATGAATAACAATAGAAATGTGACAAAACCTGTCAAAAATTTGTGTCGCTTGGCATTATTTAATAATTTTATGTAATATAATATTCCAAAACCTTGGGCCCGTTTTACAAAAGAACTTATGACTTAAACCAAAACCTTCAGATGATTGTAAAATTTTGCAAAATCAATTCTCTTTGAAATTATTTGTGTAAAAACGTCTTACCACATTTCAAGGTTAAAATAATTTTGATATAATGTTTATTAAAAAAAATTAAATTTGGTCTCAAGTCGTAAGTCCTTTTGTAAAACGGGCCCCAGTTCTTTAGACATTTTCCACAACTACCAAGTTCATTGTACCCGACGTTAATTTATTATGCTCAGAAAAAAAACTATATGGAAAATCGGTAAAAAGAATTGAAAGACCTATTAAAAAAACCCATAAATTTAATGAATTTTGGAATTTTATTTTGCGCAAAACATCGGGTTCAACTCTAATGGCTTTTAAAAGTGCATTCATTCTTTGTACTTGGACTGGAAGCTTAATTTTCAATGCAAACATAATTGTATTGTGTTTTGAAAATCATATTTATTTGATTAATTTAAAAATTTAGTCACAATATTAATTTCATTTGACTATTTTGCAAGTCTGATTGTGTCAAAATTTTAACTAAATCCATTGCTTTTTAGTAATTTTGAGAAGCAGATAATGTTTCTATACCAAACCGAAAAGTTAGTCCCTTTAAGGATATACGATCCTCAGCAAGGAAGGATAACTCTTTAATTTATAATTTAATTCAAAAAGTCTTAAAATAAAGCTTGAAATTGAAATTTTTTCATGCAACAATTTTCATTTTATGCCTCTACGTATGATTCAATGTTCTTTAAAGTTTTAACAAACGGTATTTAAAAAGTTGACATTTGTACCTCATAAAATGAAGTAAAACTTGCATATTTTTAAAAAATCTAATTTGTTTAAATTTAGCCTTAGTTACCAATGTTTATATGCATGGTTTGAAATAAGAAGCAATTTACAGTGTTTTCTTTGAAAGGAAACATTCATACACTATGCATTATGAAACAATGGAAGTACGTAGGAGAAAGTAAAGTCCAAATAAGTGTAAAATTCATGCAATTTTCTTTAAAAGCCTGGATACCTATGATTTTTATTCATAAAATGTATTTCTTGACCAATTATCAATTAAAAAATATGCAGTAGGTAGTTCAAATCACATTTCCTGAAAAATTATTCGAGATTTACTAATTTTTCCTATACAATATGATTAAATTTAAAGATGAATTTTAAAGAAACACCGTGGGTAAATACATTTTAATTTGAGAATTTAGAGACATCTTTGTGAACATTTTCAATTACTCAATGCCTGATTTGCAGAACCTGAGGATCGGATAACCTTAAGATTTTAAACCCAGTTTACCATTTCTATCTAGTATTTTACAACGTTTGTGACGAGGAAAGAAAAATCCTAATACATCTAAATATTCATGTATAATACATAATTATAAGCGAAAACACTTTAAATATTTCATCAAGTCAGAAACCGGACAGGAATCCCTCCTTAAATTAAAGATCACAGTGACCATGAAATAGGTCGCTACACACCTTCTACCTAAGATGCAAGTACTGCAGTTTTGGCCGAGTTTGGGGATTCTGGGTCTAATAGTTTTATATAGTATTGAGTTCGCCTGTTGTGAATTTGTCAAAACCAGATTTATTTGGTCCGTAGAGACGATTATATGAGAGCTTGGATATGGATAAAACATTCAAACTCCTTAAAAATATGCCTAGATATAGGGAATAAAAGTAGTTGATTGGATGATGATGTTGGAAAGTGGAAAAATTCTCCCAAAAATTGTGAATAAAATCTTGCGCCATTAATTGCACAATTATTGCCTTACGGGATCTGTATACAGCATTATGGTTCAAGACTCTAAAATATAAATAATATAAAAAATATAAAACCTTAATATGCCATAGATTCGCAGCTAGTTATGAGCCGGACAGGATTTTTTCATACTTGGTCATAGCATATTAATTTAAGGTCAGCGCAGTTTTGATGCGCGACATACATTCTACCAAAGATGAATCAGCTGACAAGATAAGATAATTTTTTGATTTAATAGTATTAAACGCTGTTAAAGTTATGTGTCGGATAAGAAAAAAGCTAACAGATAGACAGACGGACGGATATGAACACTATATGATATAACAAAGACGTAGAAAAAAAATATGGAATCCAGGGTTTAACACTACCCTGGATCCGCAAAATAGTTGCGCCTACGACCATGATAAATATAAAGTATCGTCCACTTATTCTGATATTCCCTCATCTGTTATGGTCATTTTTTAAAATGCCCCTGTTTTTTTTAGGGGGGGGCGTGGGGGTCAATTCATTTCCAAGGGAAAACCCTAATATTCTTAATTGTTTATATATAATGATGGTTTTCATTTCCACTAATTTTAAGCTCATGGCCATCTAATTTTCAAAAATGGCTAAAGAACAAGGGACATCTTTCGAAAGTTGAGACAGATACTGTTTGACATTGGACCTGATATGGATTAAAACATAGGTAATAATATGAAGCTGTAATCGTTTTTGTTTTACATACTCATAGAGGGGTAATGGCTAATCAGAAGTGATTGGAGTTCGAGGGTAGTAAAGTTCTGTCATTAAAACTTGGACTAGCCCGTCCCAGCTGGGGGCTGGGGGTGAAAAATTATTTTTGGACTCACTGTCAGAAGCCTTAATAAAACAATATTTTAAACTATGTTTGTCCCAAGGGTTTTACCTTCAAATAATCGAAGATCTAATCTATTCCAATTTAACAAACATGTTTCCATATTTAAACAAACACACACACACACACACACCCTCTCTCACACACACACACAAATAAATAGAAAAATAAAATACAAAAATACTCAAAGCAATAGACTCTCATGTATTTTCCTGGACAAACACTATCGCGGAGTCATAGCATCGTTTAAAAAAAAAGGTGGGGGGGGGGGGGTCAATTAAATTTTAAAAAAAATGACACTAGCTAAAAAACTAATAATTTAAAATGAAAATGGTCAAATAAACTTTTCTAATTCATGGAATTAGGGATGGGGGTCCAAGAACTTTAGGTACAACATATATAGATATATTTTTACTCAAACACTAAATCACCCCTATTTGGCAATGCTGCAACTTAAATTAAGTGGAGGGGGGGGTAAAAACTTTTATGTGGGGGGTTGGAGGTGGGCAGATCCCCCCCCCCCCCCTTCCGCATCCCGAATGCTATGTGCCTGTTTGATTCAATTCAACTAACATGGCGAAAACGTTCATTAAGCTAACGACCAGCAAAATCTTAATAATACAAAATCTTGTACTTGATTTATTTACCATAAAGACTTTATAAATTCTATTTTTATCATTGTAAATTACTGTTATAAACCGCTAGAACAACATCCCATATCTTTTTCCCGCTAAAGAATATTTATTTTGGGGTGTTCCGAAAGACGTCGTTTTTCGGTAGTGTGAGTCGTAATAAAATTCTTGTGGGGAAATTTGATTGGCTTAGGTTATACGTTAAACAATTGAAGTATGTAAATCAATGAAGGTGAGAAGTTGTTTCAGATCGATAAGACATTATAATTATAATGTTAACCTTTGGTTATGTCGTAAAATGAACGAGAAAAGGGCACATGTAACTGTGGGGAATTAACGTCTTCCCCACAATTTCCAACTTTCCCCACAGTGTTGGTCTTATGACCAGTCCATTTCCTCGTAATGTAGGGATCTCGGGTACTCTTTCTCTCTCTCTCTCTCTCTCTCTCTCTCTCTCTCTCTCTCTCTCTCCTTGAAATTCTTCTTATCCCCCTAAAGAACGAAAGACATTTCCAAGAGGGTGCATAATATGGGTCAGTGTTTGATGAAAATGCAAAAGGAAAATGACCTTTTGAATAAATCAAGAGATTGAAATAATGTTAAGAAAATAATAACTGAATTCCTCAATCTTTTGTCCATTAAAATAAATATTGGTTCTCAGGATCTAGGCTAGCGATTCTCGACGAAGGTAAAAGCGAATTTGTATTCATTGACACGGTAGATGATTTTAAAGTATAGAGGATAAACTTGCCATTATTTGTCAATAACACCCCGAAAAGCAGCCGGCATATAAACTTCGAGTTTAAGACGGTTAAAATTCTTCAATACACAGAATGGCGAAGGGGTAAGTCCCATATTTTAACATCACTTTTAAAGAAATTCGTCAATTTAAGCACGGTTTCTTATTTAAATCCAGCTTAAAAATTTTATATCTCGTAAATTAATTTTTTTAATCATTTAGACCGCTCGATGCGCATTTTCTGTCTTTTAATTATTTGAAATAACATTTCTTTAATCAAAGAAATTTTTTGAAACAAAAGTTCATTAAGCAAAGGAACATGAGAAAGTTTTGTTTTTGTTTTTGTTTTTTTTGTTTTTGTTTTTTGAAAGGGTCACTTTTATTTTACTTGTGTTGTTAAATGTCATCTACTTTACCGCGGATCTAATATAAATTGACCGTAATCTTTTCTAAATTAAAAGGACATGTAAGTAGGTCAAAGAAAGGATCTTAAGTCCAAATGGACTTGAATTGCCCTAACAAATGCTTTTATGCATAATTTTTTTTTAATTGTTACTAAAATATTTGTGTAATATAGATTTACCTTTTTTGAATGACTTGTGAAAGATAATATTTTTTCAGGATTTATAAGTTCTTTTATTTATTTATTTATTTAATTATATTAATTTAATTTTTTTAAGGATATGCCTATGCCTTTGCTTGCTCTTTGCAAGTACACTTGGTTTCAAATATTTCCAATCAAAAATCCCAAATGGAGACTCCGTGCCACATCCTTGTAAGCCAAATTATCTCTGGCACGGAGTAGGTCACAGAAACGAATTAGGGGGCGGATCAAGAAATCCCTTTGGCGAGGATTTTGATGCTGCTGGGAAGGTAAGTTAAATAAGACCGATAGAAATGTATGACACACGTCGTGCTGGTATTGAAATATGTCGGGCCGAGTAAAAAGATACTTATTTATTTCAAATCTTTGACATTCTTTAAAAATTCTAATTCATGAAGTCAATAAAATGTTTCAATCGTCCGATGTCGTTTGTATCTCAATTTAGCCCACCCTTTTTTTTTAGCTTGAGAAAACTCACAACGGAAAATGCTTGTATTTTAAGATTATTTTGATTTGTATTCTTCAGGGTATTTTTTCCCATGAATTACATTTACATAACTGTTGTCAAACATTAGCTTTTTACAACTTTACTGAACTGTTATGAAACATACACTTAACGTTCACTTCAAAGAAATATGACTTTACCATTTCCCCGCAAGCACTTTATGGCATGGTACAAGTTTCTTTCAAGTCTAGCGTAAATAATATTAGGACGTAATATTTTAATAGAAAAATAACTTTTCTTATTTTATTAGATTTATGTAAGTAAAAAATAGAAGGAATTTGGCAATAAATTGAAGATTAAATGAACTTTTTAAAGTGCGTGAAAATGCGTGATTGCGGGGAAACGGTATATGCATGATTTTGCGTTAGAAATAGGAAATGGTATATGCGTTAAAATGCGTGACTGCGGGGAAGGGGGTTAAGAGGGCAAGTTATCGTATTGGACGAAACTTGATCCATTGCATAATTATTATTCAATCACCTACATGTATGACTTATGAAATAAGAGAAGGGGTAAATAAATGTGCAAATCCAACAAATTATTATTTCTAGTACATCAAGGGAAACTCCTGAATAGCAATGTAACACTTTTTACCAGTTTAAACATATTCAATGAATATTTTAGAATTATTTATAAAATCTGGGAAACCTTTGTTTTGTTTCTCTCCACCTCCCTCTAGATCAACATTCAACCATTTCATCTTGAAGAGTAAATCCCTATATATTTCGAAAAAAGTCTTTTGACCCAAAAATCAGCAGTTAAATCTTTGAAAGTTTTAGGAATACAAAAGAAAGGTGTCAGCGACAAATGAAACCATTTAAAGCTGAAAAATGCATACAGTAAATTGAACCACATGAAAATAAATATTGGAGAGGGCGAAACTTTGTTTAAGGATTCGACTTGAAATAAAATTTAATCCTTCCCTTCTATAGAATTTTTATTTGCCATTTAACAATAATGTTAAAATTCTCAAAGTCTGTAGAGCGATCACACATGCACTTAAAAACCTGTGAATGTGCGACATTTGAAGGTTATGAAATTGAATTTAATGTTTTCGACACCTTCAGTATCCATTCAAACAAACTGAAAAAGATTCGTGGATGATAAATGTCCCGTATATTTAAACGTAATTCCCACTAATAAGTATCAATATATAAGAACGGAATGTGTCCTAATTTAAGACCCAACCCTTTCACTGAAGAATTCTTAGCCTTGAAATTAATAAATGACATTAAATATCTGAAAAAAACGTCGGGGAAAATATTTTAATTGTTACGTTTATAGTTTCTAATGATAAAATGCAAATTTCAATTTTATTATTTGTTGATAATTTTACGTTTTTACTTCTATATTTGATTTAAGGGAAATTAAACAATACAGTATTTTCAAAACCATAGAGGAAAACAAAATTGATGCGTATTTTTTATGCTTTCAAAGTAACATTTACATGTATTTTCACACCACGGAGGTCTCTGGTTTTATTTTTCAATGAACTCTTTTTAAGAGACTATTTTCTTGTCTATACCTTCGGGCAACTGTAGAAATCACATGAATTTAAAATTCCCTTTGTAACCTGTAACGTTTATAGACGTTTATCGGGTTCAGAAATAGGAACGGTTCAAAACCGGGGACATACAACAAAAGAATCGTGTTAAACCCATTATCTGCGCAGTGGGATGCATGTCGCAATGTTATTTTTTCAATTGCTACTTCTTTATCAGCGTTCAAATGCGTAAATAATTTTATTTCTAAAAATCCTTTGCTGTGAAGAAAAATATTCATAGCATGTTATATGCTAGTGTTGTATACAAAAAAAAAGAGTTTTATTTATCATGCCACTTTCCGCAATTGTTTTTCTTTACATTCAAAATATTTGGCTTGTGAAATCGTCCTTTACTCATGGTTAATCTAAATCCACAAAAGGGCAATTGCATTTTTGGCATCTGGAATTTTATTAGATATTGACATATTATCCGTATGTCCGTAGTTTTTTTTTTTTTTTTTTTTTTTTTAACACGATGAGCTAAAAAACCATTCCCTATATCTCATGTACGTTTCTGGTCAGTTGCATACATCATTATTAATATTGAATGTTAGATCGAAAAATATAGGGGGAAAATATGTGTATAAAAACCAAATCCTGCGTTCTTTTATCTGAACCATCTTAGACATTTTCCCGATTTATTTATGTCAGATGCAGAAATAGAAAAACATATTTGAGAATTATTACTTAATTGTGCAATTTTTTAAAATTATTTTAGATTTGGACGCAGGAGTTGTGTCGGAAGGACTCGGACGGGGACGGTAAAACCAATGGAGAAGAACTTGGCGACCCAAACTGCGTATGGCGGGAAAACGCTATTCCGGATAAAAACGCATTTTCTCATCCAGGTTAAACAACAGTATATTTATTTTTTTAATCTTTTTTTTTTTTCAATTCTTTGAATCAATTAAGTTCAAAATATTTTAAAGCTATAGGACTGTACATTTAAGCGTCAGTGAAATACTAAAATTGACTATGATTGTCTTTACTGAAAACAGATATACTTTGAAGATTTGTCACTAAATAAAAGAAGCAGTAGTAAAGGGAAGTAGTAAAGGGTTATTGAACTTATATTGGTAAATATTGACACAATTAGTTGTCTGTACAAATGCACAAGCTTGCGAATGCATTTGTACAGCCAACGAGTGCCAGTATTCACCAGTATAAGTTCAATAACTCCTTTATTATATAGCTAAAACATTTACTCATAATTTATAATAATTATTCCAACTTAAAAACTCAAATAAATGATTTTTTTAGTATCGGTATTCAAATTAACGCCTGTCCTGTATATAGCATCATTCCGAGAACCCTACCTAGCGTTATGATATGCTTATTTAGGTTTTACATGTAATATGTATAAGTTCTTAATAAATAGTTTGTGTAGACGTTAACAATAAACACATCTTACCTAGATGCCACTTCCTTTCTGTAATTTAACTCTGAGATTTTGACCAGACGACTTTTTTTTTTTTACAACGGGGCGTTCGATATTGAACGCTCGTATTTGGAATGTTTCAGGCATATGCTCATATACATATACGTAATACAAACTCAGCGTTCAATAAAACTTCAAGATATTGAACTAAGCAATTCTCTAGATTATTAGAGACTATTTATTAGCTATATAATAATAAGTTATTACTGATCCCTGATCATCCCTTTTTTTTCATCTGAACAGATAAAGTTTCAAAATATTCTTTCATCACTGTGCTACATTTTTATACGTATTTCATTGGATCCTACATATATATAGTGTTGTATTAAACCTATGCTGCGCTTACGGTCCTCGGTCCTCTTCTTGTATTAGCACATGAGTTAACGTTGTAAATTATCATGAAAGGATTTGTGTGTGTGTTTTTTAAACCTGCAGTGTTCCTTAATAAAATACTAATTTTAATACACAGGTGTATGTGAACCATACAACAGCGACCTCTGCCGGCCAAAGAACACGTGGGTTCAGTGTGAGTTGGAGAGTTTCAAATGTGACGCCATCAATCAACCAGGTCAGATGTTGCTTTTTTCTGGGAAGGGGGAGGGGCTATATTAAAATGTATAATTATTCAAATACATGATAGTGTCTATATGTATAATGTTTATTTTAAAAGATTGTATGTTTGATCCTCTAGCATACTCCCTACACTTACATCTAACAGAATCCTATACAGGGTCACATCTGAGGTCAAATCAACCAATCAAATCGTCGCCTGCAATTTTATCTGTTAAAGCGAATAAGTCTAGAGTTATTCCGAATTTGACCTCTGACGTAACCTTCTATTGGATGTTGTGTATCTATGTTAGTATAGCGAGTATGCGAGCTGATCTCTAACATCTCATTTTAATTAGATTGATTCTAAAATAACAACTGTACTAATTTTTTTTACAGATGTAAAGAACAAAACTTTAAGATATCCTCAAACCCAGGTACCCAATTTAGAAACCAATTACTTCTGTATGACCTTTGAACTTCCCAATGATGGTGACTATCACCTGATCGCAACAACGCCATATATAGACAACGAATACGTCATGCATCATATTCTTCTCTTTGGATGCGAAGATTCAGGTGAGGTGAAAAAGTTCTACCGACTGATGAACACACTAACAGATTAAGAAGGAGACTCCGGGGGTCCGGGACCCATTTTTGTATCCATATTATATACATGATTTTAAAAAAACCAACATTTTTTGTGTGTAGAGTTGTGGGCTCTTACCCCGACCAAAAATCGCCACTTTCCCCTTTTCCAGGTTAATGAATCCACGACTGGTACACTAAAAATTCTATCCGAAACGTAATGACTCAGTGCCCCTGGCATTGCATAAATGTGATGACTTAAAAAATATATGACTAAAGTAAATCTCGGAAAAGCTCATTTGGTGAAACGCTCGATTCGTGATGGAGAGGTCGTTAGTTCGAACCTCGACTGCGACTGACTTAAATCGATAAAAAAAGGAAGAGAATGTTTCTTCGTCAAGCGCTCGTCCTTAAAAACAGAATTCCAATTTGATGATAAGCGTTGGCAAGACCAGCAACATACAACTGCATAATAAATCAATCAATCATTATAAATTATGAATCTTGAGAAAATTCTCTCCCAGTGCATATCGGATAAGACATGTTTCACTTTACAATCCATCAATCATTCGTCATATAACACAGAATAAGCCCAAGAGGTTTATTTATACACATGTAGCTTTTGCGTTTCTGGAAATGGTGATTACGTGTATATACAGTATTGTGTTATAACTTTTGTTTTTCTTATTATAGTTACCCAAGAGACAACACCCACACAATGCGGAATGGGCTCTGACAAATGCCGGACTATTATCGGGGCTTGGGCCGTGGGAGGCAACGGAGAATGTGCTCACAAAGATGTAGGGTTCCGGATAGGTCAGAAAGGCTTCAAATTTGCTATGATGCAGGTGAATTGCCCCTTTTTCATTTTTCTTATTAAGATTTTAAAAGCTTCATATCGAAAAACGGTTCCTGTTTTTTGCATTAACAGTTACATTATATTCATATTCGTCATCAATATTTTGAAATTGTTTTAAATAACTGGAATAATATCATCTAAACGATTCTAGCTGAAACAAACTACATTCAATGTGATTGTTTATCATTTATCGGCACATTCTAAAAATTACCCAGCATTATTACATGCCCAAAGAATGCTTTTGATTCCATATTGTTTTAGCGGAACAAACATTTATTATGATATTAAGATCGTCAATCTCCTCGCGGTTCACCTCGGAATATTCTGCCTTTGGGGTACTTTCAGGAAACAGCAGAGGTGTGCCGAGTGTCTCATTTTTTTCATGTATATTATAATTCCAATCATTTTTCTTTAAGTTTCATTGGAATAATCCTGAACTACGATCAGACTACAAAGACAGTTCCGGTATGACGTTGTACTACACACCTAACAGACGACCAAACGACGCCGCCATTATGATGGTAGGTCAGGATTATCTGGAAATCCCACCCGGGAAGGATCGCGTGGAAGTGGACGCCAAATGTTCCGCAAAAGACACTAACATGATTTTTACTGGTCCTGTTTACATCACCAAGGCCTTCAATCACATGCACTATTTAGGTACGACATGACGCAAAGAGTGCTCGACTTGTCAAATTCTTCCTCTAATCTAGAGTATAACTGATGTAAAAGTATAAATGACAGTTTTGGTTTTGATTCCGTTTGAAGAGAAAATCAAACATGTTTGTATTCATAAAGTTCTTCTTTACCTTATTAGATCTGAAAATTGTTACCTAAATTCTTAATTTTATTTTTCGAAGAGCAATTTTGTGAAAAAACTATATATTAATGTTATATTTTTTTCCAATGATTTGACTTGCAGGTCGGGAAGAATACATTGACCAGTACAGAAATGGCGTCAAGATAAACACTCTGACTAACGAGCCCGACTACAGCTATGACCGACCCCGATTTTTAGAGTAAGGTCATCTTTTCCTAGATTTTAAAAATGCCCTGCTCATTAAAATAGATCTATTGGACAACATCGTATTATGTGGATAAAGATAAACAAAAAATAAATTTAAAAATAGTATTAGGGTTTTTAACCCATATAAAGCGGATTATGGTGTCATACATATACGCTATCTTTTATTAGAAATAATGTATGAGAAATATAAAAGATCTGTAATAGATTGATTATTATTTCGTCAGATTCGTTTATCTTTTCATAGCACAACAAGGATGTGTAACATATTCTTGTTTCTTAATAAGTTTTCATCCATTTTTCGACCCTGACGCAAGACTCGCATAGCATTCTTAATGTTTTCCTCTAGCCAGTTTTTTTTTTCTATTTATAGGTACGAAACAACCATAAAAATTATGCCAGGAGATGAAATCAGAACAAAATGCGTCTTTAAATCATCATCGAAATCCTTCACTACATTCCAAGGCGACGCCACTTCCGACGAGATGTGCTTCGGTTTTCTTACCGTACACCCTATAACAAACGTCCGAGTTCCGTGGTGCGTCAGCTGGAACGATATCTCCTTAATTCAATTATACTCAAACCAGGTCATTAATGGTTGTGACAGAACGGTGTTTACGAATGCTTCTCATCCGGAAATGGTGGAAATCTACCGTAAAATCGACCAGCGTTGTCTGCCTTTATCCAAATGTTTAGAAGAGTGCAAGGAAGTGGTCAAAGAGATTAAGTTACATCCTTGTATGCAGGGTGATATTGGAGAGTCGATGAAATGGTTCGCAAGGCTGTCGAGAAATGTTGATGTGCTTACTTTTTATTCTAAGATCGAATCATGTGACCTTGAAATTTTAAGAGAACAGATGTTGAACGAGATGGGAAGAAATACAAATGGTGCCTCACAAGTACTTCCACATTTCTTCATTGTATCATTGCTGATTTTCATGTTCTTTTAAACCAAAAAAGAAGAAAAGATATTATTTGCTTTTATGTATTCAATTCTAACATTTAATTCTTTTAACTTCTTGAAAATTCATGTATACATTCACTTAATAATGAACTGTTACCAAAGAATGTTAAATATTATTGTTGATCTTGTTAACAAAAAAAATAATTAAATGAAAAAAATAACTTTCTCCAGAGTTCTTTCAGAATTACACAGAAAAGTCAGACAAACTCTGTATAGTAATCACTTGTCATTCACAATCAAATAATATAAGGGTTAATCTTAGAGAACCGTTCCATTGGGCAAGGGCCCCGAAAAAATCAATGCTAACATATGAAACATATGGAGATAAAGAACAGTACTTGAGATCAAAAGTCCATAAAACAATACAAAATAGGAGCAGAGCAAACACGGACCTCCAAAACATCAGAGATGGGATCAGTTGCCATGGAGGAGTGAGCATCCCCTGCTTACCGGTCACACCCGCCGTGTGCTCCTTGTAATGCTCCGGAAAAAACGGAAAAAAATCCGTCGTCAAGTTCAGTGTATAAATAATGGACTATTAATAAGTATGAAAAACGTCAGTCAGCATTTGACTCAGTGCAAAATTGTATTTTCCTGACAAGGTCATTGTATCGACTATAAATTTTACCAAATGATGACTTTAAAGGAGACTGCTGAAATTCTTATTTCATCATCTTGTTTGTCAATAATTTACTTAGTTTTAGAAGTTGTTCATACGTAGAGAATGCTCTTGCATATCGAATCAGCTGCGATATATAAACTCTGTATGCAGGTGATGAAGGTATACTGCTGCATACATTGTAAGTAAGGGAAGTTGACGAAAGAAAAGTTAAAGTCAACACCTTAATCATAGAGCTTGTTGATAGAATAAATGTCTTTTTCAAGTATAATTTCCAAATACGAAACAGATGTGTCAGACTCTGTGGTTTTATTTATCTCAAATTCACCAGGATATATCGTATCGACATAAGAGTGGAAAATACTATTGTTAATTAATTGACAATACGTCGTCGATATTCTTATCACGCATAAGACTTTGCACAAATTCTGCTTTATATGAGTACAAAAATAGGTCTGCTAATAACGGGGCGCAATTGGTACCCATAGAAATTCCAAAAGATTATTGGAAGACCAGAGGCCTGTTCAGCAGAGCGAACGTTCGCGAGCGCTCGCCAAAATTCCTTATACCACCAATTGTAATTTTGGCTAGCGCTCGCGAACGTTCACTCAGTTTAACAGGCCTCTGGTTTCCAAAAAAAACAACATAGATATTGTCAATCAGAAATTCAAGCATCTTTTTGATGTCAACTTCAGAGTACTTGTATGCACAATCAGAATGGTTTTTAACAAAATAATTTTGCAAATGACCAATGACCAGGTAAGTAAATTTACGAGTTCCATTCTTGTTGAAAGATATCAAAAAGCTTGGACTTTAATTTATGGTGGGGGATGGTTGTGTATAAAGTTGAAAAGTCGTAAGATTTTAAGTTGTTGATATTGGTAAAATCCTGTGATTCAAATTGTCCAAAAATTACTTGGAATGTTTAAGTATCCACATCTGATTTACACCACTTCTTAAATTTATTGTTGCACAGTATTCCTGAAGTTTCTCCTTCACTAACTTTAATATCTTAGTGAGGAGTAACGAAAGAGGCTCGGTTGAATATCTACTGGAACCCGCTATGTATCTTTGTTTGTAAGGATTCTTATGAAGTTTCGGAATCCATTACATATAAGGTAGTTCAAATAAAATTCATAATTTCTTCTCATTGAAAACGTTACTTTATACAACAATGTAATTGGGTATATGTAGTCGTTTTAATCAAATTGAGACAAAACATTGTACGTTTTGGTCTTACCTACATTTATATATTTTATATGAATAGACTTTGAAATGTGTATTTTTCCAATGGACATAATTGGAAATTAAATTGAATGTACAGAAAATATAATGAGGATTAAAAATGCTCTCATTTGATTTTTTAGTGGTAATTTTATTGTCAATTAAATTTAAAAGATGATTGCCAATGATATTGACACTTTATTGGAATTTTTATTAACTAATCTAAAATAAACAGGAATAAATTCACGCCAATTGAAAGCACTTCTTTAATTCTAAAGTTTTTTTTAATTTTTAAAATATTTCTTTTAAATTCTTAGTGCAAATGCAGAGTATTGTATATAGAATATGAAATGTTTTAGCTCACCTGAAGAGAAGGATCAAATTAGATTTTCTTATCAAAGAATATCCAGCTTTAAGGGCAGATTAATTTTTTTAAAATAAAAAAAATCATGAAATAACAACTTAAGTAATGTTTATATGAATAAGATGAATAAATTTAACTGCATTGTTTTTAAAACAGATGTTGAACGAAATGATCGGAGAAGGAATAGATGGTTTTCCATTGAGGTAATTTAAGCAAGAGTTATTCCCCATGGCCGCCATGTTGTAGGGCAACATTTCCAGATCCCGTCATTATTCAACCAGGTTCAATTTGTTATAATGGTTACTGAGGTAAAGTTAACACTATTTTCCTTATGAAAATACGTTTAATAAAGCCTCTTTTTATTCATAATTTTGAGATTGTAAATATTTTCCCCCATATAATTCTGGCATGCATGTTTAAAATTGGTTGCTTAAAGAGGAAAATTCACTGCCCTACAAGATGGCGGCTAAGGGGAATAACTCCGAGGCAAAATATGTCAAAGGAAAACCAGTTCTACTAATGGTGCACCAGAACTACTTCAACATTTCTTGATTGTATTGTTGATGATCCCCATACTCTTTTAAACAATTCATATGTTGAGAAAATTGATATTATTTGCTTTTAAAATGAAACGATGACTTTAAACGAGCCGTATGATATTCTAGTTCCAACTTTCTAGTATTTCAGAATTTTATCAATTGCATCAGTTGGGTGAAACATATATGCATATACTTTCTTTTTTATCATCTGCCCTTAATCTGTGGTGTGGTGACTTTTTCCATCTGAATACCTATTGGAACCTAAGTTTATACAGAGAAATTAAAAAAAAATATATTCAAATGAACAGCGAATTGTTCAAATTGATTTGGAAGCCACCTCAAGTTTTGCGGGGTTTTTTCTTTTCAAAATATGACCCATGCTATTAAATTGAGCTTGGGCCAAAATGGACGGTGATTTTGTAAGATAAACCTTTCACAAATCTTTGCCTCAAAACAGAAAATTAAAGCATAAAATATATTTAGGAAAGAATCTTCGGAAATTTTAGATTCAAGTATGTTCAAGTCATGATGACCCCCTTTTCTGTCCCTCTCAGTGTAGGGTGGGACGGGTTAAAATATTATTTAAATATTCATATAGTGAAATGAATTCTGTTTTTTTTCAAGTCAAAGTGCTCTGGTGAGCAGTGTGGTACACAGGCATCTCGTTTATTACTTATTGATTTGTTTAAATTGCATACGTATGTAAACACTTAGAAATTACTGTTAATGCAAGAAAAATGTAGGCTCCTTAAATTTCCAAGTTTAAACAAATGAGTTGTTTTAATTGTTATTTACACTACAACATTTCTTATTGAATAAACTATTCTCTTTTATACCTAATATGTTCTAGTTGAATGCAATTGTTTTTGGTCTTTAGAAAGTTGTATATATTAAAATAAAACTCAACGCATCGAGGCCACTGGCATTTATTTAAAAAATGCAATATCAATAGTTTGTCCCTGCAAGTTATTTATCTTTTGGATTTTTAATATTTTCAAGGGTTGCCTTTTCAAAAGGTTCAATTTAACAGTAATGCTAACTAAGATAGACGTTTTATTGTTGATTAATAAAAGGGGTCGATTCAGACACATAGGCATTGATATTTCAATAAATAGTTAATCATAATTGCTGTTTGGATGACATAATAATTATTTCTAATGCTTTTAAATCATATGTAAAAAAAAGTGATATATTTCATGGTAAGATATCGTTTATTTTCTGTTTTCAGCTTTTTATCCTGATTGCATGAAAAATAATTCTCGTTATTTAATTCTTCGTCTTTTTTATTGAAGAAATACGTTTAACATTGTACATTCTATATTTAAAGATATATAAATACCTTGAATAATCTTTTGTTTTAATTTTACGTAACCAGTTTACTAGTTAGAATGATTGTCAACAATTTAATGAATTCTTAGTTTCAGATTCTCTATTGTTTCCATAGGACTCAGAGGAAAGAAATATTTGTTAAAGCTGTTTGTGATATGGGTTAATTTTGAAAAGACAAGGGTTAAGGTATGCTTTAAAATATTTCAAATATCCATGTTTATTGAAAAAAAAAATTGAATAGTTTCTCATTATGAGGGAAAAGATTCAAGTAATTTTCCATTATAATGCAGGTGAATAACTTTTTTTTTCCATGTGTAATTCTAAAAAAATATTAGATAGTAAATCTAATTGGTGAATAAACACCAAAAGTTTGACCTCATTTGCTCACAGATTTCGGAGAAAAAAGAATATTGAAAAAGACGTTTGACATGTATTAAAATAATAATATTTTACTTTTTTTCTCAGATGTCCAAATCAATATTTATCGGGCTTATTTTTATAACAGTAAAAGGTGAGATTTATAATCAATATAAAGCAAATTGTATTAAAAATATTGGGTATACAGCCTTGGGCTCATTACATTGAATAGAAATACAGTACCAGGAAAAGATTAAATTGATACAGTGTATGTCTAAATTTTAAAAGGAAAAGCAATTAGGCCTTACATAATGAAATGTTGTGTTCTTCAAAATATGAAAATAAAGGAACTTGATGTTGAGTTCGTTCAGTGTTATTGAAATTACATAACGGCATGTTGTTTTTCTTAAATTCTATTGAAATTACAATACCACATGATGTTTGTACATGGCTTTATTGAAATTACTGAAAGAGATGTTATATACATGCTTTTTTCCAGTTTTTCTTGAAATAACAAATCGACTGATTTTCTATAAGTTTTACCAATATTACAACGCAAAATGTTGTTTCCCTTTAATTTAATCGAAAATACAAAAACACATTTTTTTTCAGTTTTATTGAGATAAATAGAGGACTTGTTTTTCTATAAATTTTATTTTTATTACATAACGAAATGTTGTTTTC